GATTGAGGGAGCGACAACGATGTGAAATTCTGAAAAACGAAAAATTAATGCGTGTTTTTTCTTTTTTAATAATTTTGCATCGAGTCGTTTTTAGCGCGTTTATTTCGTAAAAAAAAAAGTGAAAAAAAAAAAAAGAAATTCAAAGAGTCGCAAATAAGAAACGCCTGGCACGGTGTCGATCTTAATCGTTGTCACCTTTCAAAATTGTAGCAAAGCGAAAAAAGAGAATCGATGAATCGAAGATGACGTTTTTTCGTTTCGATTCGGGATTTTGTTTGGAGGAAAAGAGCGAGCGATCATCAATGTATTTATTTTTCACGATATTATATCAAAAAAAAAAAAAAAAAAAAAAGAGAGAGAAATCGTAACCGCGATTTTGAAGTGTAATATATACATAAATAATAATTTGGGGCAGAGACGAAGAATTTTTAAATTTTTCTTCTTTTTAGTTTTAATATTTTCTGTGTTTTCTTGCCGTTTGCCAATAGTTGAAGGCAAGAGAAAAAGTACAATGAAAATGAAGATAATTTAGAATTAGTTGCTATGAAATTGTAAAATGGTAATTTAAATGAAGAAATACTTCGATAATATTGAAATTTGCCAGACAGCTATTGGCGGTAATTTGACACAGTAAATTCGCCCTCCTATAAATCGATATTCTTCGTCATAGTAATTAATTTGCAGTTTAAGTTAAAATTAAAAAATTTAAATTAAAGTTTAATCTTTAAATATTTTAGTTTGTTAGAATTATAATTAAAATATTTATTATCGTTGAAATATTAACACATTTTTATTTAAATCTATTAAAGCGTTATAGTTTTAGGAGTGGAATAATGCAGTGAATGAAAAAATATTGAAACAAGATTGATATTAATCCTTTCGTTACATAAAAGCACATATATATTTCCCATAATATAAAATGATTTTTATTTTTCTTTATTTTGTTACTAGGAATAATTATTTAAAAATTACAAGAGATGTTTACATAATAAAATAACTGGAAATCAAAAATTAACTTTCAATTTCGAGAGTATCGTAACGAAAGGATTAAAAAATAGAGTGAAAAATTTCTATTTTATAATTTTTACACAAGTCAGGCATGAATCATTGAACGAACCGAATTGTTTCTGTATCCTTAAACTATGTATACGAAATATAAATACTTAATGTAATATATACAAATTTCGTTTATAAAATATCCAGTGTTAATTGGCAACGATTGTGTGAGTATACTTTTCGTACCTACATTGTACATTGATAAATTAATTAATCACATGAATTATATCGCATAGTAGTAATATAAATGAAACATTACAGTCGCGGATTATTTTTCAAATAAAATATTCGAAATTAATAGATTGCCGAATAATTAAAAGAATTCAAATTGATAGAAATGAGAAAATTGCACTGAAATTATAAATCAACTTATAATTTATTATATTATAACGTATATAATTTATAAGAAAAAATGGATATAAACCAATGGATGAATTTGATTACTTGAAACGTTTTTTAACTTTTATTTAAATTATATTTAGCATAAATTCTCTCTCTCTTTCTCCCTAATATAGGAATGTTATTATTATTAATTGTTGTTAATGTTTTATTTTTTTTAGAATGTCATTATTTATTAATAAGTATTATTTTATATTTATAATATTTTAATATTCTATTTATTTTCTTTCTAATATTCTTATTATTCTCTTTCTCTTAATTATATTTCTGTGAAGAGAGAGAATATTTGTAAAAGATCGTACAAAATATATAGAAATCATAGAAAAATTTTAATAAAATAAATTAAATTGGATTTAAAATGATTTTATTTAAAAAAAAAATAAAATATGTACATGAATATATATATATATATATATTATATATATAAAAAAAATCTGCCCTTTGACTTCAAAATCGCAACATTATCGGAAAGATAAGATATTTTAAATTCCAAAATACACATCTAAGAATCTAATTTTTATTGTTTTAGTGCGTTTACTATGTAATATTATTATAAGTACAAAAAAACGTTTCTCTATGTAGTTTAAGATATGTAATAAGTTGAAACAAGAAAGGAATATATCTATCAGAGAATCACGAGTGTTGATTTTTTAAAAACAAAAAAAAGTACAGTAAAGTGAAATCGAGTGAATAGTTGATTTATGTTATTATTCAAGCGACTCCTTAATACATAATGCACCATTTGATGTATATTTGATGAATAAGAGATTCTTGAATCAAAAAAAAAAAATGCAAATTTTCATGTTTCTATATACACCACCTTATATATTTATTATTAATTAAGTTATTCATGTATATTATTCTTTAAAATATACAAAGTATTAATATATGTAAAATTTTAAAAAATCTATTTTAAAAACGAAATCAAAAATTGAAAACAAAACAAATATAAAAATATAAATTCATACTTATTTATTTCATTTTTTTAATTAAATTATAAATAAATTAAATTTTTATTAAATGCATTGAAATGCATATAAACAAAAAATACAAAACAAAAAAAAATATAGTGATATGATAAAAATTGCAATATTAACATTGATTCCAGAGTGCCGCAAATGAAGAAAAAAAGAAACTAAATAGTGGAAGAAAGAAGTAGGATAAGACTGCTATCGCCATCTTTTAATCGAGAAAGACATGTTTCTAAAAATATATATATATTAATTATTAGTTAATATTAGTTAGTATATAATATATAGCTAATATATATAATATATTAACTATATTATAGTATATAGTTTATATAAATTTAACTATAGTATATAATAATACTATTATAATATAAAAATTATTTCATAATACGCATGGGAATTATTATTAATATTGTTACTATTATATTATTACATGATTTTGTTTTCAACAAAGGTTATATATTATCATTATTCTATTGTGTACATATTATGCAACGATTATTACGATGCGCAACAATGTCTTTTTAATCATTCTTCATATATTTTAATGATAAAATTTATTCTTTAACTTAAAGCTTGGTTCACAGTTTAATGATACGCATGCGTACATTAGTTATATTAATCGTGCAATTTAAAAAAGTGAGATTATATCTATTACAAACATATTATTTGCAGAAGTTAGAAAAAACAACAAACGAAAGAAAAGTGGGAAATATTTATATAATTTTTTAATTTAGTGTTAATTTTAATTTTAATTTTCTTGAAAAATGGATGATGAAGCTGAAACATATAAATTATGGCGAATAAGGAAAACAGTAATGCAATTATGTCATGATCGAGGTTATTTGGTTACACAAGATGAATTGGATCAAACTCTGGAACAATTTAAAGAACAATTTGGAGATAAACCAAGTGAAAAAAGACCGGCACGTAGTGATCTTATAGTTTTAGTTGCTCATAATGATGATCCAACAGATCAATTGTTTGTATTTTTTCCTGATGAACCAAAAATCGGTATTAAAACCATTAAAACTTATTGTCAACGTATGCAAGAAGAAAAAATTCATAGGTAATTTGTCATAATAAATGAATATTTATTTTTAATAATATAATAATTTAAAAATCATTAATTCTTGATAACTTTAAGTTTTTATTTTGTTTGTAGAGCTATTATTGTTGTACAGCAAGGGATGACACCATCTGCAAAACAATCATTGGTGGATATGGCACCAAAATATATATTAGAACAATTTTTAGAATCTGAATTACTTATTAATATTACAGAGCATGAATTAGTACCTGAACATATCGTACTTACACCAGATGAGAAAGAGGAATTACTTACTAGATATAAATTAAAAGAGAATCAATTAATGCGTATACAAGCTGGTGATCCAGTGGCACGTTATTTTGGTTTAAAACGTGGACAAGTTGTAAAAATTATTAGGCCCTCTGAAACTGCTGGAAGATATATTTCTTATAGACTTGTGTGTTAATATTTTCATATTAATACAATTTATTTCTAATGTTGTATTATTTTATAAGTAAAGATTAGATCATATAATTTTTATAATTATTATATAAAATAAAGAAACTATTAAAAATTTAAATATTAATTGAAATATTAAGAAAAAAATAAAAGTCATTTTTCACATAATATTTTATTATATTTGCATTTTGTAACTACATAATTAATAAGTATCAATTTATACATTAGGCAGTTAATAATGATTGATATTATATTTGCAATAATACATTTCTTTATAATATTTTAATTAGCTTATTAAACATAAAAAGTAGATGTAAGCAGTGTAATTTGATTACACCTTTAACAATATAATAAATAAAATAAATTGGTAAAACAAAATTTTGTTCAAACATATATATTTTATTACATTTTCATTATTATACATTTTTTGGTCCAGATGTATCATGATATATTGTTGTCTTATGACAACTCAATTCCAAATTTATTTAAGCAATTGTATACATATAGTAAAAGCAATATTTATAACAAGTATATTTTTTATATTGCTGTAATTATTACTGTTTTAAAAATTTTTCAACATTTAATATAAATGATTTAATATAGAATATTAAAAAACAAATATCGTATACAAAAAACAACATATAAACATAAAAAAAATAATCACAAACTTATTATACAATGAAAAAGAAAATAGACTTCCATAAAAGATATTCAATACAATAATAATTTTTTTTTAAGTACTAGGCAAGAAAATCTATATGCTATATATTTATAATATAAAGTGATTTTTCAGAGTTCTTGATAAGATTCAATTATTCTATATTTATAATCTTAATAACATTAACATTAACACAAAAAATAAAATACATGATCTTATGTTTTAAAGATTTTAAACTTAAATAATTAATGTCATATTTTTTTAAAAACTTTGTGAAAGGCGAACATTATATATTATTTATATTTTGTTACAAATTTTTAATTTTATCAATATAAAAATTATTTTTAAGGGGGAATCATATAAAGTATAACTAATTTTAAAAATTATTAACAATAAGAACTAACATATTAATAAGAGAAAAGTTTACAACAAGAACCATTTTGTAATATTAAAAACAAAGATTTTATATTTTTTAATATTTACTTTCTATTTTTATCTATTTAAATATAGTACATGCATAAGCATTTAAGATTACTTGCCTATATATTTTGCAAAGCAGTTACATGAGCTAAAATATATCACTTCTGAAGTATGAAATCTTAATTTAAAAAAATAATTATAGTAGATGGGCATAAGTAAATAATGCATGCAAGAGTAATTAATATAATATATTGTTATCAATAAAATGTAAACATAACGAATAATAATAATTACACAATAGGACTACATATTCTTATTGTTTACACGGAAATAAGAAAGCAAGAATATCGAAATAATTAGATAAAAAGAAATATTTAAAAAATATACATGAATTTCCGCACATTAACATCAATAAGTTTTAAAACAAAAACATTATACATACTATTCATTCAAAAGTGGTCTATTTTCATAGTATAGTTATTGTTAATCATATATATATATACACATAAATATTGCTTTTTATCAGAAAAATTAAATATAAATTTTTCATTATAAAAACATTAAAAAATGTGAGTTCAAATGATTTTTCCAAAAATTTATATATTTATTTTCATTCTATAATTTTTTCAGTTACTAATATTTCTTATATTACAAATAATGAATCAGTCGATTAGAAATGAATAAGTATGTATGACGTTTGTGTATAAAACTTGTTTTGTTCATTTTTCTTCATTATAAAATCTTTAGAAGAAAAAACAATTTTTCAAAAAATTGTTTCATAACATAAAGAGCAATGATAAAAATAAAATTTCCAATTATTTGCATATAATTGGAAAAATCAAAAAGCAAAACAGCTTATTTAAACTGCTGTTATTCCTTTGCTAATACTTGATAAAAAGATTTACCTCAGGAGATGCCAGAATAATTATTCCACATACAGTCTGAATAGTACAAGTCTATATGTATATGATACACAGCAAGTATATCTGATGTAATAATATCAGACGTATCTTAACCGCCGGAAGAATATTTTCTTCCACAAATATTTGTAAAAATATTCACAACATAGAGGCAGAATGTGGTGTGCATTTTATGCCAAAAGGCGACGCGTTATAATGCTATATATCTATATAAAGTTCTTTTGTATCTCGCATATGGATAGCTTACTAGGCTTTTTATCACCAAGGTCCCCGTACTTCAAACAACAAATTCGTATTAAAAAATACAACGTTTATGCCAGCCCGTTTATAAACCTGTTTTGAAATAATATGCATCTTTCTTCTTAATACGATCAATATTTTTCTTTACTGACGTATATAGGTAATATTATAAGTTTTACATATTACTCCATCAATGGACTACCAAGATATAGAAAACACCATTAAAATTTCATTTATTATATTTAAATATTGTAAATTTATCTCTTAGATCTATTTTCTACTTGAGTATTCATGAAAATTAAATTTAAGATAATTTAATGTGGTGCCTATTATACAATACCCACATCTATCAAACATGTTGAATAGCAGTATTAGTCCCAATGAAAAATTCCTCTAATAGATCCAATAACAAAAAAGCTACCCTGTTATATACTATATCAGGAACTCTACATTTGTTTATATAAATTACTAAATATGAAGAATTTTTTTCAATGAGACCAATAAAAAATATTGGCGATAATATTGATTTCATTTAAACAACTCTACGTCTAGACCACCAATACATCCTGGTAGCCCATTCAATAGGTGGAGTTTGTAAAATGTTGTTGATTAATTCTGCAGTAAGTCTGATCCTGTACGTGATAGTGGTGGGATAATGTGGCCGATGCCTTTGGCCTCTGTGTGCACAACATGAGGCCTAGAAAATATAATATTTTTTTTATAAAAATTATAAAAAAATAATATATTAATTAAAACTAATAATAACTAATAATATTTACCTAGGAGTGATATGGAGTAACATATGTAGAAGGAAACAGGCCTCGTCTATTACCAATTTCTCCATGCCACCAATGTTGATCTGTGCGATCAGTAACAGTAATTACATCACCTCGTTTGAATTCAAGTTCACCAGGTTCTTGAGGTTGGAAATCATATAATGCTTGCACTAAACACTGAAACAATATATAATCTTACATTATAAAATCAATAATTTTTTTTTATTTCATGCTTTGTTTATTATATAAAAGATAATTACTTCTTCTGGTACCATATCTCTCAGTTTAACATCTTGTGAACGAGATACAGATGCAGTACGGTGATATTCTACTAATTCATTAAGACTGTTAAATTTGACCACCCAGAGGAAAAATTTACCTTGAGCATCTCTTAATACTTTGAAATGTTGTACACCATCTGAACATCTATAAAAAATCATTAAGAATTTATTCAAATAATTCAATATAATATTTATATCAATAAAGTTTTAAAAATTTTTTATACTAACTTCACAGATAAAGAGAAATCACCAGGAGAACTTTCACTGATTCTAATAAGAAAGGCGCCTTCATGTTTGTTCATTAATAATCTTTCTGCATCTGCTCTAGTTATCCTTCCATAATACCAACTAAATAAAACAAATATAAAATACATTTAGATTAGATTCTATATATATACAATAATGTTTATAATAATGTTTACATGAATGTTTAATAAAAAAAATTTATAAAAATACCCACTCATGATTTTTCATCTCTATATAATTACTTGGAATGAGTCCTTCTCTGGAATCTAATTCAGCTCTGTACCAATTCATATCATCCTCCATATTCAGAATCTATAAAAAAAAATTATATACTTAATTATTTATTAATAATTTATTAATAAAAATTTTTATATACAAAGAAAATAAATTTTAATTTTTAATTTCTATTTTAATTATTATAATCTTTAATTTCTTTCTCAAAGTTATTTAAATTTTTGTTATAAAAAAAAATATACTCAGAAAAATCAAATATTTTTTTATTATTAATAATAAAACCATATGCATAAATTATATTTGTTTTTATTTAATTTTATAAAAACTAAGTAATGAATAAATTATTTATAAATATCTTTCAAATAACAATTTGTATTATGAATCATCAGATAACGGAAGAAAAAGCAAGAAAATTTATTATCATAAAAATATTAAATATTAAATTTTGTATTATGTATTTGTATAAAACAAATGTATAGGAATAAATGAATATTAAATGTGTGAATATATTTGTTAATTAATTAATAATATTAATATAATTTGTTTTTAATTATTAACAAAATAAGAAGATAATAATGATAATTAATTTATAAATTTGTATATTATCGCAAATATCCTCAAGACATATTATGTAGATTTACGATTGTAACGAAAGCAGTTCAGAAAGTTCGGGATCGGTAAGTTCTCTTTGATAAAAGTATCAGTGAATAAATATTAGTATTTTTATGATTTAGAGATAATTTTCACATTATTTTATATAATATACAAACCTTTAAGATTTGGCTTCTTCGAAAACTAAGCTCATCTTCGGCCGTCGCTGTAAAATCGTGCTTTGCTATCGCCTCCATTCTTCTTCCTCGTCCTCAAGAACAAGAACGAAAGAGAGGGAAAAAGAGAGGCAGTGTTATATCTAGTCCTTAAAGGCAACACCAGAATCAGCCTTTGTTTGTTAATGGAAAAACTTAAGACAGATATCAAATTATTTTATTTTATTTCTTTTAATAAAGACAAACTTGTTTGTTATATAGTATGTCTATTCCAACAAAAGACACGTAGTGCTCAACAACGCGCACACACACTGACCACTCGTGCTTTTTTTCTGTTCGTGCGATTTTCTGAATTAGTCTTTCGTTAGACTATCTTGATTAATGGCACATTAAATCATACATATTAAGTGTGACTATAATGCTTTTCATGAATACTTAATATCTTTTCAGTCACTTCTCCGTTGAACTGTCAAAATTGAAAATACGATCATGCACTCTCACGGTTGTCCATCGCTTGTCTTATCAGACATTACACTCGACTCTCCCACTGATCTGCTCACTGTGTTTCAGGCTGACAATGCGCACTGATCACTGCGCACCTCGACGTATGAATTCTGTTCACAGAATATAAATATGTTCAATTTATCTAGATATCAAGTGAATAATTACGAATTTGAAATTCAAGTTAAACGACCTGTTCACATTCGTTGCAAAATTTTGTATGCCATGAAAAGACGTGCACGATTCCGTGAAATGAAAAGTCCAGCGTACTACTTTTCTGTGGCGCAGGCGCGCGCATGCGTGTTTTAAGAATGCTGCGTCGACTGCTCC